TGCTGTTTTTTTTTTTAAGAAATTCATTTGAACTAAAAAATTGCATGTCACAAAGGTATTAGTTTTTTTATTCCCGGATTAAATATTTATTATTTTTTTATTTTCGGGTTGTGGACCCATTAGAGTGGCACTGGAGAGTAAATTACACCTTAATATATTTAAATATGTCGGCGTGTTGGTTGCTAAGTGCAAATTTGGAAAGCTTGTTGCTATGGCAACAGAATTATTCGGCATGCTCAATTATTTGGTAGCCTGTAGGTGTCGCTGGCGCGCAGGCGCAATGACAGTTGAGTCGGTAACAGGAAAAGGTTACTGAGTGAGGTCTGTTCGTCTGTCGCAACAATAGGAAAGAGTGAGAGAGACAGCTAGAGATTGTCTAGGATTGACGTTTGAGTGAAAAGTAAGAAAATGTGAAAAGGCTAAAAGAAAAGTGACGTGATGACAGATACGTTTTGAGTGCGCAGGCGGACAGAACTCGCTGGCTCGACTACGGTTAAATTAAATAACGGTTATCTTCGACATCAGAAGTGGGATTCACCATAGCCTCGCGGGCATTCTGATAAAGTGATTTTCGGTCGATATTAAATTCAGTAGCGCATCGAAAGCTTGCGCAGCCGCGTGGTGCGAGACACCGGAGTCGTGATAGGCAGTCAAATGCACTGGTCGCGTGTTGAGCCGGACGGTTGCAAGTGTCATCATTGTCGGCCAGAAAATTTGGGGAAGAATGGAAGACAACAACAACAGCACGCTGGCGGAACTGCGGCTGAAGTGCGGAGAGCTGGAGTGACGCACTTCGGCGTGATAACGGTGGTCACATTGCATCTGTGTGCACGAGATGGGTATCAGCGGCTGCGAGCGGCAGCGGCAGCTGCATGTAGAAGCGAGTTGATTTGTGTGATTCAACAGTGACAGTATCGGGTGAGCCCTTTCCAATTATTCTTCGATTTGGGAGCTCAATGCGGTTAAGAGCAATTTCGGCAAAAATACAGACTTATATATTCAGTCTGCTTTAGAAATTCGCCTAGTAGACATGAATAGTGTAGAGTGTCCCCACACACATGGTTTGGACATAAAGTTGTTGGTTAAAGATGGGAATAGAGATGTGTTTGATTGCAATGTTGTGGAATACGATAGGTTGTGCTTGGACTATCGGAAGCAATATTCGAAAATGGTTTCGGACAGTGGCCTTTGCCGCTTATGTCAGACCCTGTGAAGGAAAAATGTTTCTGTTGAAAAATAATTAATTTAAAAAATTACGAGTTGCCCTCTGTTTGGTCTGCCGTGCCGTTTGGTTTGAAGAGTGCATCTTCTACCTTCATCATGCAATTGTTAAGGCGTTTGGAATTTATCATGATTATTTGCGATAGTTTACATAGATGACGTGTTAATCATGGCAAACTCGGAAGAAAAGGCTTTCCGAAGGCTGAAGGTTGTATTAAATGTGTTGACTGTACGAGGGTTGTCATTTAACGTTGCCAAATGTGGGTTTCTTGAACCTACTATGCAGTATCTGAGCTGTGAGGTGTGCGGTGGAGAAATCAGACCCAATTCCTAGAAAATCCTTACGTTAAAGGTCCGTCCTTTTAATCGGTGCAATTAGAAGACCGTCGTAAGACCATTTATTGAATTGGTGCCTTATTTTCAAAAACGTGTGCCTCGATTTTCTCAGATCATGAGACATATTCTTCGGCTTCAAGTATCTTTAAGTGAAATGACGATATTCAAAAATTGGAACGAACGTTTTTAATATTATTACAAGTGAGCCTGAAAGCGTTATTTGTTGGTTCGCAACATCCGATAAAATTTGAAACAGATATAAGCTCTTGTGGATATATTGGTAGAATTATGTGTCTTGATATCTATCTCTATATGAATTGGAAATATTGGTTGGCGTGCAATTATTCTGATATTTTTGGCATTATTTGCTCAGATGAGAGTTTTTAGTCTATACTTATTGCAAATGTAATCATTTCAAAAAAAAAAAAAATTAACTGAAGTGCATCATAGAGTAGAGGAAGAGAAAGCGCAAGGCAAATGTGGAATTCTTTTTGGGTCCAGAATTCACATGACTGATTTCAACTCCGATAAATAAAAATAAATTGACAGAAAAACGTCTGAACTTAGAATGAAAATCTAATAACTGAATGATCAGAGTCAGGATTCAGGATTGATTGATATAGTTTATAAACAACTCAAAATAATTGAAATTAAATTGAGCTATGAAGGGGGGTTCTTAAAAATACACAGAGGTGTGAGGTAATGTTGTCTGCCAGTAGTGTCCCTTAAATTTTGTTGGATAGTTATTAATCAAGGTTATAAATCCGTTATGTATTTGGGTTGGAAAAAAATAGACTCAGCAAGATTTATCAAAATTGTTGGAAATGACTAAGTTTAAAGATTGTTGAAAATTGTATCATGTGTAAAGCTGTAAAGTAGTCATCTGGCTGGATACCAGGACCGCAGAGGTGATGGCAAGATGCTCTAGGCGGGGTGCAACTTGCGGCGAACTGCACAGTTAGTAGTGCAACCAATGCAAGCCCTTAAGAGATGCCAATCGGACCCACCCTTTGGGCTTGATACCACCACATGACACAGAGAAAAGTATAAAGAAAGAGAAATTTAAAGTTACGTTATGCTGGTTCGGAAGAGCACTAATTTCGATAAGGCAAGATTAATTTAAAATAAAAAATGAAAATGGAAAATATGTTAAGAATGAGAGAGAAAAGAGAAAGAAATGAAGATGGAAAATGAGAATGAAGATCGCACCAAACAGAGTTTATAGAAAAGCTTGATGGTGGCCGATATGTTTTGAGATATCTGTCAAGTAAGCGAACTTTTATAAGTATGCGCATGAGTTTTTGAGGGCATTGCCAAATAGACAAAATAAGCAATGACGTTGATAAAGATTTAGACGACTCAAGTAGAGATGCGTCTGATTCCCATGTGGGGAATGATGATATGGATGGCACGGTTGATGCCTTGGAATCCCAAGAGGGGATATAATGACCGCACCATAACAGAAGGAATTGTTATGGCGGGGGTCAGTGGAGACCGCACCATAACAGAAGGAATTGTTATGGCGGGAGTCAGTGGAGACCGCACCATAACAGAAGGAATTGTTATGGCGGGGGTCAGTATGTGGGTGTAAAAGGAAATACACCAGTTGATAAAGCTATGTAATTAGAGAAGTCTGAATTGTAAATTATGATTAAAATGAAGATGTAATTTGTTATGTTATCATGTTATCATGAAACCAAGATGCTTATTTTGTCTAAATGCCTCAATACTCATGTTTAGAAAATTAATGAAATGTTTGTAAACAATAAAATGTAACGAGTACTGAAATTTGAGAATACTGTGATTTAAAGTTAACACACGAGGACGTGTGATTTGTCAGGAAGGCCGTGTCGGATCACATGAAACAGGGCCTACTTTATTCCTATGGTCAGAATATGTGAAGCGGAGCCTTTTGAAATATGAAGAGAGTTTGTACTCTATAGGTTCGAAAGATTATCCTGCAAAACTAACATTTGAAGATGTTGGGTTTGTGCGGAAGAGAGCTTGTACTCTATGGTTTCGAAAGGTTATCCCGCCAAACTAACATTTGAAGACACTAGAAGTGTAAGCGAGAGATCGCCGACTGAGGCACTCGTTGGTGGAATCATTTATAAGGCTATGAGGGTCCAGAGAGACCGTGACGCAAGAGGTGCGTGTGAGCGTTGCAAGGTGTGCAGCAAGAGCCTGAGAGTATAATTTGAAGAGATGTTAAGTAAGCGTTGTGGTACGAGAAGAGAATGAAAATACAGAGTGACGTGGCGAGCAGAAATAAAAGTAAGCTTATTTGACATGAATGAAACAATTAAAATGATATGTTAAGTTGAGACAAAAGAGAGAAACAAGAGAGAAAAATAAATGAAAATTACTGTTATGTTTAGAGCTATTAGAAGACACGTCACGCGAGGACGCGTGAAATGTCAGGATGGCCGTGTCGGCGAGTTGGTTGCTAAGTGCAAATTTGGAAAGCTTGTTGCTATGGCAACAGAATTATTCGGCATGCTCAGGTATTGGTAGCCTGTAGGTGTCGCTGGCGCGCAGGCGCAATGACAGTTGAGTCGGTAACAGGAAAAGGACAGTAGACTGTCTGTTACTGAGTGAGGTCTGTTCGTCTGTCGCAACAATAGGAAAGAGTGAGAGAGACAGCTAGAGATTGTCTAGGATTGACGTTTGAGTGAAAAGTAAGAAAATGTGAAAAGGCTAAAGGAAAAGTGACGTGATGACAGATACGTTTTGAGTGCGCAGGCGGACAGAACTCGCTGGCTCGACTACGGTTAAATTAAATAACGGTTATCTCGGACATATATATATTATTGATCAGCATCAACAGCCGAGTCTATCTATCCATGTCCGTCTGTCCGTTTCTACGCAAACTAGTCCCTCTGTTTTAAAGCTATCTGAATAAAACTTTGCATATAGTCTTCTATATACTCTCACTGCTATATATGTCCGAACGGGCCGGATCAGACGACTATATCATATAGCCGCCATACAAATGTTGGATAAATTTTTAGAAAAAAAATTATAAATTAGCAGTTTTTCAACATTTTTGCATAATTTTTGAGATATGGCCATTTTATGTTATTTCAGAATTTCGGTTTTAATTTTTTGAAAATCGGATGACTATATCATATAGCTGCCATAAATTTCATAAATTTCATTAAAATCGGAAAACTATATCATATAGCTGCTATAGAAACCTATCGGTAGATGTAGAGAAAATATAAAGCAGGGAATGTAAAACTGTAACTGTCAAACTGTGAACATAACAATATAGGTAAAATGTAATGAAATAATATCTGCAAGGGTATACAAACTTCGGCGTGCCGAAGTTAGCTTCCATTCTTGTTGTATATACAGTTTACAAAACTTAACCAAGTTATCGAATTTTCTTTACATAATCAAAATTTGTTACGGAACTGCATATTCCCTGGCAATGCCGGACTAGCTCAGTGGATGCCCAGGGGGGGTAGGAACCTATGCCCGCAGTCCGCACAACGAAACACCGATTAATCGGACGTCTCAACAAAACTCCCCACTAACAAATAACACATCTCTAACAAATAAAAGTAAACAAACCAAATATGACGACTTTTGCGGAATGGTGGCATAGATGGAGTCGCCACGACGCTCCCGCCCAACCTGTGGTGCCTCCGGTGTGTCTAGGGGCACCACCCATCTCCGGCGGACCGGAGTCTAATCCAGGCGGCTTGACGGCCAGCCCATCTCCCCAGGTAAATACTTTTTACTCCAAGTTCATGGCGGTTGCTTTTAATGCATTATAAATTTTAGGTGCTTAAGGCTAACATTGGCAGAGTACAATAGAGTTCCTAATGGACTCATTCCCGGCGAAACGTCACCCTAGCCCGGGATGCGCTCGCGCCAAGACTGCGGCAGCGGAGAAGAAGCGGTGGTCCGCTTAGGAAAAAGCCACAAACTGGCTGGAGTGGTACTCTAGATTCCCTTATTTCCTACCTACTATCCCTGCTGGAGCTCCAAGAAAAATAAAGGGGATGGGTAAATATGTTTTCGTTAATATCCACTTCTTCTAATCTGTTCCTCAACTTCGCAGAACTCGTGTTGCACAAATCCCTGACCCAAGTTAAGAGACGTGGAGAAACAAGCACACGGAACCAATTAGAGTAAGACAAATAAATTAGCCTAACCAAAACACAACAGCACAATAAATAATTAATTCTATTTCAGCAACTAGAAGTCACTCGGCGACCCGCAAATGGCTTCAGTGGCGTGAGTGGCCAGAAATCGCGGCAACTGATGGCGACGGCAAGCCCGAGGAAAGCAGGGACCTTCGCAGCCACGGCCACGTCGTTTTGGAGAAGGGGCAGAGCCGATCAAAGTCCCAAATATGGGTACCAAAACCTGCCGGTTCCAGACGGCGCTTAATGGAACGGACTCACCGGTTGGCTTGACGGATGGCTCAGTTCCCGGCTGCTACGAGGCTCGTTGGAAATGTTTTTTCATCCCTCTCCTCCAGAAACATCCGCCCAAGAACGTTGGCGGCGGGTAAGCTGTGCAATATAATCCCGTAATTTTCCAATAAAAATGCCCGTGGCCAGCGATTTATTCACTGCCACGCTGAAATTAAACGTTTATTTAATAAAACGTTTTTAGATCTTTACACTTTCACCCACGTTCTTCAGGTAATTCCTAGCCGCCCAGGAGATTAGCTGCTTTTACATCGACTTTTCGTTGCTACTGCCGGCTGCCATGTTGCCTATCCCTCCCTATATAGGCTTCGCCTGTCACCCGAGTTCGCACCTAGGAACCGTTCTTTCTTCAGTGCAACGGCCGAGGCCAAGGGTAAAAACCCTTTCTCTTAATTCCCTTAACCTAAGCCCGTTACCTATTCCCGGTTCGCTCTTTGGAATCCCTGCCCCCCCTGGGCCTAACGATCCTACCTCTATCGATCTATCGATAGTCCTCCAGCCCATTCCGATTGAAAATGCAACAAATTACATTTTTCATTGTTTACAAAATTTCTCATCAGTGTAGTTTCTTTAGCACATTTACATTTTTGTGTAATTCCTTTAACACATTTACATTTTGTGTAATTCCTTTAACACATTTTTGTTCGTTCATTTCATCTCATTTCATTTCGTTCATTTCTTACATCTTTCTTACATTTTACATAATTTTATTCTCTTGACCCCCGCCATTACAAGTCCTTCTGTTATGGTGCGGTCTCATTTTCCATAGCTTCAGACGCATTTTCCATAATGCTGTCTCTATCTTCGGTTATTAACTGATTATTTGGCATAGCCCTTAAAAATTCATGAGAATATTTGTAAGTTCGCTTACTTGTTAAAGACTTTAACAAATATCTATCTCCATCTAGTATTTCAATGATCTCAAAGGGTCCTTTAAATTTAGGATCTAACTTGGTTTGATGACGCTCCTCATTTTTAAGTAATACGTGGTCGCCCAACTTATGTTTAATAATTTTTGCTTTATTGCTATCGAATCTGTTTTTATCATGTCGTGCTCTCTCTACCATATTTTGTGAAGCCTCTTTTCTTAAAGTTTCCCTATCTATTTCGTCATCGCATTCTTCGACTACTGGTAGTAAGCCCAAAGGTCTAGCTTCCTTACCAATTAGCAGTTCTAATGGGCTAAATTTGGTTGTTCTATTCGCCGTACAATTCATGGCTAGTTGCACATCTGCTAACGCATCCTGCCACGACCTCTGACTGTGCTATACAGAAATTCTGAAAACCAATACTTGAAAAACATCGGCCTTGATCCGCTACTATTCGAGTTGGCAAGCCAAATAAAGAAACAACTGACTTTACGGCCTTAACACAACTTTCAGTGTCTAAGTTTAACGTGTGGTAAAAATAAACAAATTTTGTAAACGCATCAATTAGAACAATAACATATTCCTTAAGGTCGTTTTTACCACTCAGTTTTCCTGTTTGTCAATATGAACTGTGTGCCACGGTACATTAATTTTGGGAATAGGATGTAACTTTGCTTGTACTTTTCCAACTGGAGGCTTTGATAATTTACAAGTAATACAGTTTTCAACAAACCGGCGACATGTGGTCAAACCAATAATAGCTATAAACCTTATCTAGTGTCTTTTCCCAGCCAAGATGCATTACTGATTCATGGACATGATTTATAATGGCCCATCTGAAGGATCTTGGAATTACCGCTAAACATTTGGTTTTCCCATTTCGTTGTATTTTCCTATGCAAAACACCCTTCCGCAGTTCATACGTGCTACTCAAATTATCAGATAATTCATTGTTTCTCAGAAATTAAGCAGTTATCAGTTACCTCCGTTAAATTTATTCGTTTCTCAGGTATTTTATTCGGAACATTATTTTTTTCTGGAGCACTTAGTAATATTGAATGAAAATCCCGCCTTACTTCAAGCCTCTAATACAATACGCAACCGTTCTATCGCTTCTTCTTTGGTTTCGGCTATAACTAGCACATCGTCAATATAAACTATAGCGTATGTGTGTGCAACAGTTCCCAATGCTCTTATAATAGCTCTCTGAAAAACAGACGGTGCATTTTTCAGCCCAAAAGGCATCGTCAAAAACTCGTATTGGCCCTCTGGAGTTACAAACGCTGTTCGCTCTATTGAAGTTTCATGTACTGGAATTTGGTAAAATCCACTAGCCATATCCAAGCAAGAAAAGTATTTGGCACCGCGAAGCCTTGCAATCTGGTCTGCAATAAGGGCAACGGATACTTATCAGCAACGGTATTCTCATTCAACATCCTATAATCTACACAACGGCGATCGGTGCCATTTTTCTTTTTCACCAACATCATAGGGCTGGCGAAAGGTGAGCAGCTTGGACGAATGATATTTGCCTTTAATAATTCATCAATTTTAAATCGCACAAGCTGCTTTTCTTCCTCGCCAAGCCTATATGGACGTCGTTGCACTGTCTTTTGTGGATCTATTAATTTGATTTCTAGGTGCCCTGTTGAAACTCGCGTTTTCGGTATACCGCTAATAAACCAATCAGAGTAGCATTTTAGGATATTTGTCAAAGCCATTTTATCGCATTCTTCCAAATCTTTATCAAAATGTATGAAGTCTTTATAATCGGTAAGAGCCACTACATCTACGCTTTTTGTTTTGTAAATTTGAAATTTATCAGCGTCTATTGTTACGCCAAAGCCCTGACTAAGGATTTCACTGCCTACTAGAATATCGTATTTAAGATACTTGTCCATTATTACATGTAGCAAAATCTCGAAGCAATACTGTTCAATATTTATTTTACATAAAACTTGCTGAGTACTATAAATAGAATCATTACTTATTCCGTTTAGTTTTACAACATTATCTACTCTTTTTCCATTTAATTTATCCGCGACGCTCTCCTTCACCAGCGAACATTCTGCACCAGAGTCAAAGCAAAATGGAATAGACTCACCGGATGCCTTTATTATACCGGACGGTGGAGCCACCGAACAGATATCCACACGCTTCTCTTGCTTTCAATCGGTTCCACTTGAGCGGCCGCTAGGACAGGTGGATGCAAAATGGCCCATTTCGTTACATTTGAAGCACTTAACGGAAGATCGATCCTTAGCTCCCTTTGTGTATCTGCCGTCGTAAGCTTTGCCTCTACTCTGGCCCTTCTCCAAGCGAGCACGCCATTCGCCGAACTCATGCCCAGCTTTTCCACAGTAGTTGCATTTCATCGGGAACTTATATTTCTTGCGCTCCGGTCCTGAAGATTGTCCTTCGTTTTCTGTGCTACGCTTCTTATAAGCGTGAGCCTGTAGTTGTTGTTGTAGTTCATTGCGGTTCTTAACGTTGGTGGTGTATGCCCAGCGCAGCAAACTGTTAACGATTTTCGCCATGTGTGCCAACGCTACCGAGACTGCGATTTCCTCCAGGTCTTTAGCTTTCCATTTTGACATGAGCGACGCACAGTAGCGCCTTTTCTCATTTAGCGTTGCAAAAATCATATCTTTTGAACCAAATAAGGTAATCGAATAATTTAAACGGCATTGGACAGGTAATTGTTGTAAAATATATATATGTACTGCATAAAGTACCACGCCCACAAATACGCCTTTTTAAAGGGTATCAAAGTGAAAAAATAATTTTTTTTCAATGAAAACAATTTTTAAACAAAAATTTTTATTTAATTTTTTATGTTTATTTTTATGTATTTGCTCAAATAAAAATAATTTGAAAACTGAAAAAAATTTTTTTTTTTAATTCGAAGTGTAACCGCCACGCGCTACAGTTAGTATATTTCTTGAAATGTATGAAATTGTGTCGGTATTTTGGTATATTTTACCCTGAGTTGTTTTGGTTTTTTGCGTTGCATTTCCGCAGACGCAGCTCGACGCAGCCGATGAAAGTTAATTCTGATCCAGGAAAGATCCACGGAACTTGTAGTCATAGTGTAGTCAGTGGCCGGCATTGGCGTCAAAAGATATAGACTACTTTAGGCAGAAAAAGGTGAAAAAAATGGACACCTGGCAGGTAGCGATTTACCTGTAGAAGCCCAAATCAAAGTGTCGTTTTTTTTAGGTTCTTTAATAGTTTATGAATGTATCTATCATTTAAAGTAAAAACCATGACCATTGGTTTTATGGTTTTTTTTTAATATTACCTGAAAGTCGACCAATTTACACATTTTTTTTTGTATGATGCAAAAAACGAAACAAAGTTCAACTTTAAATGCTCATAACTTCTACAAAAAAAAATCTTAAAATTGATTTTATTGCAGATTCTGAATCCTTGTTAAATTTCCTGTCGAATAAGTATGGTTAAAATCGTTTTTGCGAACATGGCTTTTTTGATTTTTGCAACGCTAATTGTTCGAGAGGCGCTACTGTGCGACGTCACAATTCGGCTGCCATATTCAGCGAATCCCTCTCCAGGAGTCGGACGACTATTTAGGACATTCAATAAAATTCCTGATGTTGTCTCAATTCCGACGAAGCGTTGAATAAACAGCTCCCTTAACTGTGTCCAGGTTATTCCCGCAAAACAAACTTGGGATAACCATTGTGATGCAGAGCCCTCCAACGCCTTGCTCAACGCTACCACGAGAGCACCGCCTACGAGAGCATTGTCTTCAAATATAAGGTCCACCGTTGTACGCCACGCTGAGGCATCCGTTCCGGCGCAATCTGGGTTAAACTTTGGCAATGTTACGTAACCAAGTTTTCCATCCGCTGTCGGCTTTGAAGTCTGCATGGATTTAATTATGTCCATCAAATTACGATACTGCAATTCGAGCACTGCCAGCATTTGGCTAGAGTCACTAATTGTAGGCGCGTCCAATCCCACTTCTGATGTCGGGGAACGAATAGTCTCCTCAGCCATCGTTGAGCTAGTTAGTTTCGTTCGTCTTCGCCGTCTCCAAGAGAATGTGTATCACGCCACTTTTCCTTTTTACCCTTTCACCTTTTTCTAACTTTCACTCAAACGACAATCCTAGGCAATGTCTACCTGTCTCTCTCTCTCTCTTGCGACAGACGAACGGACCTCACTCAGTAACAGACTGTCTTCTATCCTTGTCCTGTTACATGCTCAACTGTCATTGCGCCTGCGCGCCGGCGACACCTGTCAAGCTAACAGGACTCAAATACCAGAGAATGCAGAATCATTCTGTTGCCATGACAACAAACATTCCCTAGCATGACTAAGTTGTTTTTCACTTAGCAACTAACTCGCCGACATATGTATGTATATATAAAACGTATGACGTATTTACATTTGTTCTCAAAAGCAAGCCAAGTTCGGTACGCTTCCAAATAATTTTCCATTTCGCCTATTCGACACCGTTAAGGGGGGACATCTGAGTAAGTTTTTTTAAAAATCGAAAAATAATTTTTTTGCTTAAAAAATACTTCAGGGTCTTAAAAATAACATATCAAAAGATAGAGTCCGGCAAAAGTTTCTAAGTGTCGAAATTTTCCATTCTGCGGCGATGCCTGACATGTAATCATATACGATTTTAAAACTTTAAACGCGTTTTTCTCAAAACCACTTTTTGAGTTGGCCGGAAACAT